TGTAATAGCCTCCAGCATTTACCATTTATCTCACTAGGGACCTCTGTTCCAAAGACAGGGGCCAGAGGACGGAACAGGCAGGACACACAACTATCAAAAATGTGAAAAGAATCAAATCAGAGGGCTTTCTCCAATCACCCAAGGTCCCCAAGGAGCACTCTGTTCTCATCTTACCCCAGTTGGCTCCGGTTTCTCTCAAAAATCTTAACAGTCTAAAGACTTGTTCCATGCCTGAGTTTCTATCGGCTCTTCTGTGGCTGGAAAAATGGAAAAACACCAGGATATTTCAAAGAGACACAAAAACAGCCAGAGCTATCCAAGACTGCACGTACCCATCTGACCCAGCCAATCACAGAGTCTTAGAAACCAACAGGGAGCCAGCAGAGAAGCCCAGGCCAAATCCACAGCATCCTGCTTAAGCCTCCACCATCCATCATGGTTATCTGCCCGTGACTAAGTGCCTGTTGTGTGCTGGGCTGACAAAGGAGGCTGTCCATGGTGGTGGGCTGGTGGGCTGCCGGGGGTGGGGGTAGTGATAGAGCTGCAAGGGCACCAGAAGGCTGTGAGTCCCTGCCAGGCTATGTGACTGGGAACGAGTCAGTCTCCTAAAACAGGCCTCATGGTGTACGGCAGGCAGGAAAGGGGCCCCTCAAAGATGTCCATGTCCTGGTCTCTGGAACCGTGAATATGAAAAAGGAAGCATGACTCAGGACAGAGTCATGAAAACAGAGGCAAAGGGACTTTACAGATGTGATTTAAAGACTCTGAGATGAGGAGATTATCTTGGACCACCAAATGGGCCCAGTCTAATCACATGGGTCCTAAAAAGTGAAGAAGAAGGCAGAAGGGTCAGAGAAATGTGGCAGGAGAAGCCCCTGACTCACCGTTGCTTACTCTGAAGGCTGAGGAAGCCAGCTGTGAGCCAAGGAGTGGCCTGGAGAAGCAGGGAATGGCCCGAGCTGACAGCCAGCAAGGAAACGGTGACCTTGGTCCTACAGTCACAGAAACTGAATTCTGCCAACAACTCAAATTAGCAGAGAACCAATCCTCCCCTGAAGACTCCAGAAAGAGACTCAGCCTACTGACCCCTTGATTTTCTTCTAGAAAGACCCATAACAGACTTCTGACTGTAGAATTGACAATAAATCTGATTTTTCTTAAGCCATTAAATTTGTGGTACTTTGGTCCAGCATTAGAATCGGACCACACAGTGTGATCCTGAGTAGTCCCTCCTTTGAACTGGGCCTCCTTTACCTGTCAGTCAATTGGAAAGAGTGGTCAAGGTGATCTCCAAGAGTCCAGCCAGCTCTCAAAGTCTCACTCTGCTCCCCTGACGTCCTACCTCCCTGAGAGCCCTGCGCCAGGTCCAGGATGGTCTTGGGTCAAAGACCATTAAAGAAAAAATAGGAGGGAGGAAAGAGTGGAAAAGATGATTTGTGAAAAAGCCCCAAGGTATTTCCTAAAATGCCACTTGAGATGGTCAAAAAAAGTCTCCCATTTTGCCATTTGTTACTTCCTTAACCATCCCCCGGAGGAATGAAGTGGAAAATCTGGGAGAGCAAGAAAAAAAAAAAAAAAAACCTTCCAGATTGATTAATCGGTAGAAGTGGTCCAGAGCACTGAGTTAAGGATTCCCTAGCCTTGCAGAGATTAGGTGCAAAGTCCTGATGATCAACTATAGCCTGGGCAGGGATTAGGAGTGGTGACAGGTATGCCAGGGACACATGTTGCCATTACTTGAAACTGATTGGGGGCGTTTACTTTCCTCTGTCTTTCCTTCTCCTTCCTCCACTTCATTCTCTCTGATCCCCTGTAGTCAGTTACCAGCAATTCACACACACCCAATCAGCTGGTCCGAGTCCAAACCAATAAAATAAGAAAAATTGGGGCACTTGGATGGCTTAGTGGTTGAGCATCTGCCTTTGGCTCAAGTCATGTTCCAGGAGTCCTAGGATTGAACCCTCATTGGGCTCCCCACAGGGAGCCTGCTTCTCCCTCTGCCTATGTCTCTGCCTCTCTCTGTGTCTCTCTTGAATAAATAAATAAAATCTTTAAAAAAAATAAGGAAACTAGAGCTATGCACCACTAAGCAATGTAAAGTACACAGTGTGGTTGTCAAAGCTGGTTTGCTCTTGTCCACTATGCCAGCCGGGTGTAGTTCTGGCTTGTCCCCCTGCCTGGCTACCTCTGAGCTTTTCTCCTGGATGGACACCATTCTATTTCCTTGGTGAGTTAGGATACCAGGATACCAGGGTCCCTAGTGATTCACTGGCCCAGTGGCTGTCAAATTCTTACTGTCCCCCAGGTCACCCTACAATTAAGTGACAGAAGCAAGATCTGAACCCAGATCCCCGTAGTTCCAGTGAGGTTCAGAGCGTGGGCCCTGGAACCATACTGCCTGGGTGCAAACTGCAGCAGTGCCACCTACTTCCCGTGATCATGGGGAAGTTCCCTACTCTCTTTGGATCTCAGTCTCCTCAACTATAAAATGGATATAATGGTGGTCCCTACCTCATAGGATTGTGGTAAAGACTAAATGAATTAATGCATGCAAAATGCTTAGAATAACACCTGGCTCATAGCGCTCAGTAAATGTCAAATATGATTTTTTTTTTTTAAGCAGGCTCAACGTGGGGCTTAAACTCAAGACCCTGAGATCAAGACCTGAACTGAGATCAGGAGTCTGATGCTTAGCCAACTGAGCTACCCAGATGCCCCTCAAGTCCAATCATTATTACATCATTTGGCTTGCCCAGCCCATCAGGGCAGGTGTCTGCAGGGCATGTCACACCTATTCCTAACACTGTGAGTGTGAATGCATGTGTCTATCTTTGATTCCACTGCCAACAGTGGCAGTGTAAGACCAATCAAGATAAAGATTCTCTTTCCGGGCAGCCTGGGTGGCTCAGCGGTTTAGCGCCGCCTTCAGCCCAGGATGTGATCCTGAAGTCTCAGGATGGAGTCCCACATCAGGCTCCCTCCATGGAGCCTGCTTCTCCCTCTGCCTGTGTCTGCCTCTCTCTCTCTCTCTCTCTCTCTCTCTCTCTCTCTCTCTCTCAATCTCTCTGTCTCTCATGAGTAAATAAATCGTTAAAAAAGAAAAAAAGGTTCTCTTTCCTTGGAGACATTTCCTTTATTTGTAGATTTAAAACCACCAAGAAGAAACAGAAGCACATTTTTTAAAAGAAGGATCAGAACACCTGAGACCAAGTCTGTTTCTTTACCTCCTTGGCCTGTCACTTCCAGGCCCAGTATGTGACCTAACCACATCAGGCCCCCAAAGTCTCTAATTTGTTTTATGTCTCAAACACCTCACCACTGCTCAGTGATTCTTAGGTGGCCATGCCAGAGACAAGGAACCCCCAGACCTTTCATGCAGTGAAAAGTTCTGACACCCTGAGAAGTTACTATTTGGAACACTGATGGAGCATGACTTGTAACCTCCATGGCATGACTCATAACCCCAGGACAGCTGGGAACAGGAGGTCCCTGCTGCGTTGGAGAAGTGCTTCTCTTTGGCTTTTTGGGTCATTACTGGGTCAAGTACATGATGTCTTGAAGCTCAGCTGGGCTGTCTTGCATGTGCTCACCGGATGGCTGGCCCGCCTACATAACCCGAAGAGCTGTATCATGCTCAACGGTAGAGGCCCATCTGTTCCGTCCCCACTTCGTTTTACAGACACGGAGGGTGAGGTCAAGATGGGGAAAATGCTTCATCAAGGTAACTCAGAGGGTCTCCTGACTTCTAGAGAGCAGTCCTCCCCGCTACCCCCACACCCCCAAACCCCTTTCAGGCATTTGCAAGCCTTCCTATTTACCCACTGCAGTGGTGCCAAGGTCGTAGCAGATGTTCCAGAAATCTTTGATTCTTGAATGTCTGAGCAGCTTTCACTACGATAGCCTAGAGCTTTGAGGAATCTAGAGAGAAATGGGAGACTCCCGAGGGCGCCCCCGCCGCCCCCCACCCGTGCCAGTCAGGAAGAAAAGGGTGGAGCTGCGGGAACAGGAGTCCTGCCTGGCCTCTCAAAATAACAACCTCCCACAGCTGCGCAGGTTTTTATGGTTTACACCTCTCAGTTCCTGCACTCAGTAAACAGTGCTGAGCGCCTATGTGCCAGGCCTTGGGCCAAGTGCTGAGGAGGCCTCGGAGATGAGGCATGGAGAGGCAGTCTCTACCCTCAAGGAATTCGTGGAGGGGTGGGGGGAGCGGGGGCAAGACAACCCGCGCCTGGAACCATCAAGTCCGGAGTTAGGAGGGAGGAGGAGGAGGAGGAGGAGGAGGGGGGAGTTTGAAAGGCAGACTTCTCCCCACGATACTCCGCACACCCCCCTCTCCCATTGATTTCTGGACGCCAGGGACAATTTCTCCAGTTCGCAGATGGAGAAACAGGGCTGGGAGACAGGACGGTGACACTGCTGGTGACGGACCAAGGGAACCCGCCACCCCCCAGGGTCCCCGCGCCTCCGGGGCCGGGCTCCCCCACCCGGGCTGCGGCTCCCAGGAGGCCCCAGGTCCGCGGAGACGGTGGCCGCAACCTCGCGGCGGACAGACGCGGGAAACGGGGGCGCAGAAGTGGTGACGGGGGAGGAATGGGGAGGAAAGGTGGAAGCAGAGGGACAGTCGGGAGGACGCGGGGTAGGGACCCCACGAGCACCGAGCCCCACGCGCGACGCCCGATGGCCCCACTCACCCCGGGATCCGCAGAGCTGCTCGGCAAGAGCCCGCGGCCGCCGCCGCAGCGGCCCGCGGGGGGCTCGGGGCACCCCGCTCCCGGGGTCTCGGCGCGGCTCGGCCCCGGGCCGCGGCGCTCGGCGGCTCTGGAATGCCCGGCCGCCAGGGACCGCCCCCGGAAAGCCCGCGCCCCCGCCGCCGCCGCCGCCCCGCCCCCGCGGCCCGGGGGGGGAACCCCGGGGCCCGCTCCCCTCCGGCCCCGCCCCGCCCCGCGTCCGCCGGGAGGCCCGCGCCAGCGCTCCGGCCGTCGGGGCCCCGCTCTCCTTACCGCGGACCGAAAGGCTCGGGCTGGCGGAAAAGGCGTCCTCCGTGCTCCGAAATCCTCCGCGGGCGAAGGCCGGCCGATGGGTGGGCGCGAGGGGCGCGGAGGGGCGCGGACCCCGGCCCCCGCTCTGCAGCGGACCGAGCGCAGGATGCTCGACCGGCGGCTTTGCACAGTGGGGCCGATAAAACCTGCGTCCCAGCCCTGCCGCGAGGACGGACTTAGACGCCAGCGTGGAGCCGGTTGGTCGTCTGCTGTGACACGCCTCGGAGCATCCTGTTCACTTCTGAGACAACAGTGACCCGGCCCGACCCGAGATGCCGATGGGCCGGGGAGAGCTTGATCCTACGCACCGCCCCGCGTTCCCGGCCCAGCTGCCACCCAGGGCGGTGCAGCTGTGCCATCTCCTGCCGTTTCTGTGATGCACCAGGGACAGCGATTCCGGTCCTGTCTCAGTCCCCTTGGTTTTAAATCCAGCAGTCCTGCCAGCGCTCTTCAGTCCTGCTCTAAAAAAGCAGGAGCTCAGGCCTTGACCGTCAGCGTGACCTTGCGGACTCTAGAAACCCAGTTCGTGTGTCAGTTTCTTCCTGTGCCCCGTAGATTTAGTGAGAACTAGGCTGTCTCCCCAGGCCTAAATCAGATATGGTTTGGGGGCTGAACTTACCCCTACGAGCTTTTCTAAGTCGGGGATGAGGTCAGCAGAAATGACATCTGAATCATCACTACCAGATGCCAGTTTTTAAAGAGGGGAAACAATGAGGAGGATGGAGGGGATTGACAGGAGAAATGATGTGACAAAAATTCTAGGAATTATCACCCAACAACATGTTTTAATCAAAAGAGACGTGTGGAATCTTAGAAAGGCAAACAAACCAAGTACCACACAATTCTTAACAGTTTAATACAAAACTCTCAGTGTGGGGGGGTACCCCAAAAAGCTAAAGAAGGACAATCTCAATTTAATACAACATGTTTCCTGGTTAGTGGAAGGGGGATTACTCTGGGTGGACACCTGATAACTCCATGTGCTGGATGTGAAGGCTGGCTCCCATCTGGGAGAATGCAGAACCCCAGGGCTGGAGCCAGCACCAGCAAGACTGTCTGCCTTTCCCAGTTTGTACTGTATCAGTATCTCTTTAATAATGATTTGCCCTGGCACCCAAAAAGTGAGCCAAAAGAGAAAATTGAATACCCTATGGGAAATGTACCCCATTAGCTCTGTCTCAGCTGCCAAGAGAGCTTTAGAAGAGAAGAATAATGGATGCTGTGTTGAAGTAGGAGGAGGGGAAAAAACACAGTTTCAGTACCAAGCTTTGTTACAGTGAAACCCAGGGAACAACTTATATTTCACTTCCTTGGTCCTCAATTACAAGTACTCCAAAGGGAAAGCCATCAAGAATTAAAAAAAAAAAAAAGTAATACTTATGGGGAGATCCCCGATAGTGGGGGGATTTTTTTTTATTTATTTATGATAGTCACAGAGAGAGAGAGAGAGGCGCAGAGACATAGGCAGAGGGAGAAGCAGGCTCCATGCACCGGGAGCCCGACGTGGGATTCGATCCCGGGTCTCCAGGATCGCGCCCTGGGCCAAAGGCAGGCGCCAAACCGCTGCACCACCCAGGGATCCCCAGTGGGGGGATTTTGAATAAAAGAAGTCGTAACCTAACAACATTCTACCAAAACACTGCCTAAAGGAGGCCCCTACTGGATACAATTCATCTCAGAAACCCTTTCTTTAAAGGGTACCTGAGTGGCTCAGTGGTTGAGTGTCCGCCTTTGGCTCAGGTTCTGATCCCAGGGTCCTGGGATGGAGTCCCACATCAGGCTCCCCACAGGGAGCATGCTTCTCCCTCTGCCTATGTCTCTGCCTCTCTGTCTCTCATGAATAAATAAATAAAACCTTAAAAAAAAAAAGAAACCCTTTCTGTGAACAACACCTATGCAAGAATTTTCTTATTCATATATTTTTCACTTGCACAAGTACATTTATTTAGTCAGTTTTGGGAAATAATGTGGTATATTGAATTGGAAATCAGGAAACCAAAATTCTGACTCTGAGTAGCTAAAAGATCATTAATGCCTCAGTTTTCTCACTTGTAAAATAGTAAAATGAGACCTATTCCTTCCATCTGAAGCAATTATTGTATGTAAAGATTTCATTCATGTATTTATTCAAAACTATTCATTGAAAGTCTCATACATGTTCTAGATACCAAGGAAGATAAATTCTCTCTTTATTGTTTGACACCTAGTGAGAAAATGTTCACTGTAAATAAGTAAATAAGCAAAATGATATCAAGTCATGAAAACGTGAATAAAAAACAAGATGATGTAATAGGGTGATGGAGTACATTTTATGTTTTATCATGAAAATTGTAGTTAATCTGGATTTCCTGAATTGTTTGTATTATCAAGGATTATGTAACTTTATAATATATCAACTTAAATGTAAGTTCCAGGGTCTTTCACTATACTTTAAGAATTTAAACTGTTTTAAATTGACAGTGAGGCCAGTAAAACCTGTAAGGATTTTTTTGTAAGGAAATTTTTTTTGCTTGGATAATTTATAAGGAAGATAGAACACAAAAACATTCATCACCAAGCATGCATATAATCTCACACACACACACACACACACACACACACACACACACACTCCTTTGCCTCTTATTTTTATGTTTGAGAGTGGCTAAACCTTTGGTATATTAATGTATAGGTGTAATTTTGCCACTTTAAGAAATGCAAATAGGATGTGTGAGGCCAGGAGAGGTTTTATAAGGTTTGCTTTGCTGGTCTGCTAAATGTTTGTATATTTCAAGCCATACTTAGTTACTTGCCCACAGTTATATACTTGAGGAAATAGAAGGTAGTTACATTGCTTAAAAGATGTAATTTATGTGCTAAGAGAATATATCTTTTTTTTAATTTTTAATTTTTATTTATTTATGATAGTCACACAGAGAGAGAGAGAGAGAGAAAGAGAGAGAGAGAGAGAGAGAGAGAGGCAGAGACACAGGCAGAGGGAGAAGCAGGCTCCATGCATCGGGAGCCCGACATGGGATTCGATCCCGGGTCTCCAGGATCGCGCCCTGGGCCAAAGGCAGGCGCTAAACCGCTGCGCCACCCAGGGATCCCGAGAATATATATTAATAGTTCTCACCACAAAAAAGAAAAGATAAACTATGCAATAGGATGGCAGTGGTAGCTAATACTATGCTGGTAATCATATTGTGATTTATAAATGTATCATATCAACATGTTGTACACCTTAGACTCACACAATGCTAAGTGTCAGTTATATCTCAATAAAGCTGGAAAAAAGAGAAATGAGTAGGATCCCATTTTATTCAATCTGATAAAAGACAAAAAATCTTTTTAAAATACACAAAATAAGATATGAACAAATGTATGAACATATCATTTTTCAAGAAGAAAAAATCTAGTCTGTAACAATGCCAATTCTCCTGAGGTAAATGTAAAACTTAAAAAATGTGATTCATATAAAGGGCCATTGAGACTATCTTAAGAATTGAAGTAGTATAGAAATATAAATATAGAATAAGATTATGAGTGCAATTTTGTTATCAAGGGGAAAAAGAGCAATTTCGTCTTGAAGTAAGAAAACTATGCTAGAATGTGAAAGATTGGCAAAAGACACATTTTGAATGGGTAAGTTGTAGAAGTTTGATGAAAAGAAAACTTTGTTTCCTTAGTTTATAATACTTGCAAATAATAAGTCTATAAGGAAGCAATGAAATATGTTAAAATTTTAACAAAATTGGCTCTGTTTTAATGGGCTTACTCATTAGACTTTTTAAAAAGGTCTTTCTAGCAATTGTTACATTAATGCAAGAGTAGAATTTAGTTTTGTTATTCTCTATGTTAAAGTGAGAAACTAGTCTTGGAATATTCAGTTTGGCTTTTGTTTGTTTGTTTGTTTGTTTTTTGAGAAAGGCAAACTGCCACACGTAGCTGTAACACCTCCTTTGGATGTGCCTGGAGTTTTGGAAGCATGACTATCCTATGTTCCCCCAGAAATGGACCTTGAGAACTTGCTTGGAGGTTCTAGCAGAGATGTGCAGTTTCTCATATACCCTTGAATGGTCCTTCTCTATGGGAGAAGGTTATCCATCCTCCTCCACTGTGTTTAGCTTCTGGAGGGATGTACAAGGAGAGATGTGGGAGGAAGGGGACACCTGCATAGCCAGCCCAATCAGCCAAATTAACCCTGGTGATCAATGGGATGACATTGTGCAGCCAGATTACACTTATATTCCCAGTTTCTTCTGAAGAAGAGATATGGAAAGTTACTTTTAATTTCTTTATAATCTGCCCAAATAGGAAGTATTACATATCTGATCAAAGTTACTTTCTGTGTTCTGTGCATTGTCATGCCCTTCATTACTTAAAAACAAAACAGAAGTTCCTCATTTATTAAATAGCTAAAGTTCCTTATAATTGTACCTATGGTTATGTTTATTTAGTACTAGTATATTGTCACTCTAATAGGCAGCCAAGCTACAACCATTCACTGTTCCCAAGCATCTATGCTTCTGTCTTAAGTTAGGGATGATTCTTCTTTGAAAATTCTTTTTCATGTTACCTTCCCAAGACCAGTTTGATAGTTTATAAAAATATAATGCGTTTTTACATATCAAACCATCTTTGGTGCTTTCTAGATAGCTAAAATACCAAAGGCCTTGCCTCTCACCTTATATGTCATTCACAATTAGGAGGGATAGTGGGTAGAATTAGGTATGTTTGAAATGCTCCATATGCCTTAACTGGCTCACTACTGCTATAGGATTTGCATTATATACTAAGCCCACAAAATGGGATAAGCTATCCAATCAAAAAAGTACATTGTAACATTCCCATGTTTATTTTTAGATTTTTAGATTTTTCTGGGGGGTGCCTGGGGGGCTCAGTTGACTGAACACTCAACCCTTGGTTTCAGCTCAGGTTGTGATCTCAGGCTTGTAAGATTGAGCCCCATGTCGGGCTCTGCGCTAGGCACGGAGCCTGCTTAGGATTCTCTTTCCTTCTCTCTCTGCCCCTCCCCTCCCTCTAAAAAATAAATAATAAAAAAAAATAAAAGTAGATTTGTCTGTGTACCCATATCCACAGTACATTCTTACACTTGACAAAACACTGACAAGAACCATAACCCAATAGGATTTATTCCCCCCTCTTCTGATATGGTTGTTTAGTCTAATAAGTTAAGAGAGGCTTCAGTCTAATCAAACAAGTGCTTTTTGCTTTCCTTACATGTTTACCTGAAGTCTTCTCCTGCATGCTAAAGCATCTTCAACAAAGGATAGTCCCAACAAATTGTTGAGAACTATTGTACCAGGTATTCTTAACTGGAATAGATTTATAGGGCCAGGCTTCTTACCATAAGCTACCATTGTGACCGCAGGTAGATGTCTATAGACTGAACCACAGGATCAACTCAGGATTGCTAGGACACTTTTAGTCCAGAAACAATCAACTTCATGGAAGTATACTGTTGGTCCAAAGTTTACAAGTCAAGAATTAATTACATGAGTCAAATACGTTCATGAGAGAAATATAATTGTGGCTACATGTTTTTAGAATATTGTTGGATTGTTTTTAATGCTTTGTATTTGATGTGCTTATAAGGAAGTCCTTTTTCCCTTTTTTTTCCTTTTCTACTTTCTTCTCTATAAGGCTCAATTTAGCAAACTCTGCTAATGCAAACTAAAAGGAAATTTTTTAAATGATATCTTGTTCCACTGACCATTCAGAATTCAAGAGTGAGCACTTTTACTGAGTCTCTAGCAAAGTAAGAAGATTGAAAGATTGAAAGAAACTGCCTTCCTCTTTACAAGGATGTAACTGGACAAATATATCACCAAACAAAGCCATCAAAGGGTTTTATATTTGAGAAAAAAATTCATTTAATTGGCTACGATCATGTAACCATTAAGGACCAAGAGTTATACTTCCTGTGTGTACAGTGGCCTCCCAGGAGACTGGTCTGGCAAACCTATTCCATGGCTCACAGAGTCTCAACATCATGTTGGCAAGATAGTAATGAAGTTCACCTGCTGGTAGGTCACCAACTTTAGTAAATGCTGGGGACCTTGAAAAAAGATAAAGTCTCTTACTCTTAGGGACTGCAAGCAGAGCTTGTTAGAGATTAATTTTTTAGCTTTGGTTTTCTGATATTGGAATAGATGAGCAAAGACATCAATCACTGAATAATTAAAATATTAACACTAGAAAATATCCACTTAATAGAAAAGAAAGCAGCAAAGAAGATATAAAAACAAAAAATAAGTATAAGATATAAAAAAATGAAATAGCAGATGCAAAATTCAACTACATTGATGATAGTATTACGTGTGAATGAGTGAAACAGTTCCATAAAAAGGCAAAGATTTTCAGACTAGATAAAATAAAAACAAAATCCAACTATATCCTATGTATAAGAGGCACACTTCAGATTTAAAGACATGAATAGATTGAAAGTAAAAGGACAGAAAAGAAAAAAAAAAGAAAAAAAAGAAAAAGAAAAAAAAAAGGACAGAAAAGTTATATGATTCAAAGCAAACAGCCAGGGATCCCTGGGTGGCGCAGCGGTTTGGCGCCTGCCTTTGGCCCAGGGCGCGATCCTGGAGACCCGGGATCGAATCCCATATCGGGCTCCCGGTGCATGGAGCCTGCTTCTCACTCTGCCTGTGTCTCTGCCTCTCTCTCTCTCTCTGTGACTATCATAAAATAAAAATAAAAATAAATAAAAAAAAACAAAGCAAACAGCCACCATAAGGAGGCTGGAGTGGATGTATTAATTAATAACAGGAAAAAAATAGACTTTTAAACAAAATGTTACTAGAAACAAGGAGGCACATATTATAATGATAAAAGAGTCAATCCATGAGGCAATTATAAACATATATGCACCTAGCAACACACACACACCATAAAGCTTGATAGAATTGAGGGGAGAAATAGACAATGTGATAATAATTTTCAGGGACTTTCATACCTCACTATCAATATTGGATAGAACAACTGGACAGATTAACAAGAAGATAGAATTAAACAGTATTATACACATGCTAGATCTAAAAGGCAGATCTACCTAATGATAGAAGAATATGCATTCTCCCTCATGTACAAAGAATATTAGACCAGGTTTCAGGCCATACTATAAGTTTCAATAAGTATAAATCAACTGAAATCTTACCAGATATGTTCTTTAATCAGGATCACAAGTTGCCCCCAAATCCTAAACAACAACAACAAAAAAACAAAGTTGGAGAATTCTTATTTTCCAATTTCAAAACTTACAGAGCTACAATAATCAACAGTGTAGTATTGGAATAATGATAGGTACATAGATCAATGGGAAAATAATTGAGAGTCCAGAAACAAACCCTCACATTTATGGCCAATTGATTTTCAGTGTTATTTCCAGAACAATTAAGGAGGGAAAGGACAGTCTCTCCAACAAATGGTGCTGGGACAACTGGATATTCAAGTGCCACAGAATGAAGAATACATTACACCATATACAAAAATAAATTCAAAATGAATCAAGACATAAATGAAAGAGTTAAAATTGGGATCCCTGGGTGGCGCAGTGGTTTAGCGCCTGCCTTTGGCCCAGGGCGCGATCCTGGAGACCCGGGATCAAGTCCCACATCGGGCTCCCGGTGCATGGAGCCTGCTTCTCCCTCTGCCTATGTCTCTGCCTCTCTCTCTCTCTCTCTGTGTGACAATCATAAAAAAAAAAAAGAGTTAAAATTGTAAAACTCTTAGGAGATGTTTTCTCCTGTTTGGACACTATATCTTTATGACTAAACAGTGGAATATTACTCAGCAATTAAAAAAAAAGTATTGATGCACACTTCAACATGATCCTTGAAAACAGTATGCTAGGAGTACATGGGTGGCTCGATTGGTTAAGTTCAGTTTTGGTTCAGGTAATTTTCTCAGGTTTGTAAGATCGAGCTCCATGTCCAGCTCTGGGCTGGGCATGGAGCTTTCTTAGGATTCTCTCTTCCTCTTCTTTTACCCTTTCACCCTCTCACTCCCCTCCTCTAAAAAAATAAAATTAAAAAAAAAGGAAACAGTATGTTAAGTAGGGGAAGCAAGGCACAAAGGACCTATCTATTAGATATTCCATTTATATGAAATATCAAAAACAGGCAAATCAGTAGAGATGGAAAGATTAGTGGTATCCTAGGGCTGGGCTTGTGAGGAGGGATGGAGGGCAATATTTAAAAAGTGTGGGATTGGGATCCCTGGGTGGCGCAGCGGTTTCGCGCCTGCCTTTGGCCCGGGGCGCGATCCTGGAGACCTGGGATCGAATCCCACGTCGGGCTCCCGGTGCATGGAGCCTGCTTCTCCCTCTGCCTGTGTCTCTGCTTCTCTCTCTGTGTGTGTGTGACTATCATAAATAAAAAAAAAAAATTTAAAAAAAAGTGTGGGATTTCCCTCTGGGGTAGTGAAAACCTTCTGAAATTGATTGTGATGATCATTGCACAACTCTGTGAACATACTAAAAGCCAGTGATGGTATACTTAAATGAATTGTATGCTGTGTGATTTGTATCTCAATCGAGGTGAGAATTTATCTTTGGAAGGATAGTGGCTATTGAAAATTCAGTCCTAGTTCTTTGTGAAGTCTCTATACAGAAGTTAATTCTCTTGCTATAGTAGTTGTTCAGCACCATGTGCTGACCACACGACAATGAGGCTTCTATGCAAGCAAGACAGATCAAATAACCCCCCAAATATAATGAAATCAGCTGTTCTTATGATCATAGATAATTTTTGAAGTTTATTATCACAGAGGTGGAGTGACAAGAAAAATTATCCACAATATGGAAACAAACCAAAAGGATGACTGGATGTCTTGTTAACATCAAACCAGAGCATAGCTTCACAAGCCTGCATAAAGGTCATCTGACTCTCTAGGCATGTGTACCTTTGTTTCACTTACTATTTATTGTTAATGAACAGTCCAGACATTGTAACAACTTTGTAAAGTTAGACACTAACCTGCAGAAAGTTTTGATAAGGTACAAATTTATTTGTTTGGCTTGGTTTGTCCAGTAGGGGTGGAAGTGATTTCTATTTATTAGCAAAGATAGTCCTCAAAGTTGTGTTTTTATTGCCCTCTAGGGCATTAACCAATTTTGCATCTAACTCATCAATCTTATTCCAGCATTCTTTCTCATCCTGCTGTTTCCTTCACTAACCACCTAAGTAAAAGTTTGATGCCTGCTCACTATCTGTATGTATAAAAATTATATTTTAAGCATTTTATTTTTTAAAAGATTTTATTTATTTATTCATGAGACACACACACACACACAGAGAGAGAGAGAGAGAGAGAGAGGCAGAGACACAGGCAGAAGGAGAAACAGGCACCATGCAGGGAGTCCGATGCGGGACTCGATCCCAGGTCTTCAGGATCACGCCCTAGGCCGAAGGTGGCACTAAACCACTGAGCCACTGGGGCTGCCCTATTTTAAGCATTTTCAAATGAGCAGGGAGCCTGATGTGGGGATTGATCCCAGGACCCCAAGATCATGACCTGAGCCGAAGTCAGATGCTTAATCAACTGAAATTTTAAAAATTGAGTTTGAATCCTCATTCTGGCAGTAACTGTGTGACCTTGGGCCAAGTATTTAATGTCTATGAGCCTCACTTTTCCCTTGTACAAAATGTTAATGGCAATGCCTTCCTCAAGGGATTTTAGTGAGGGTGAAGTAGGATTTAAGTAAAATCATGAACGCGGAAAAGCCTGTCACTGGTAAGCATTACCTATCTGTATACATGATAGGTGTGGAGCATGTATTCAATCTATGGTTTTCTCTGAGCCCAGAGGTAGATGTTTTATTGCCCTATAGAGCATTAACTAGTTGTGCATCTTATTCATCAGTCTTGTTTAAGCATTCTTTATCATCTTATTGGTTGACTGATGGTATTTACAATTCTTCCCTTCCTGCATTTTCAATAAATTAAGACACTGCACATCCAAAATTAAAGATTGTTTAAGCAAACCCCTCTTTTACATATGGGGAAACTCAACTGAGCCTCAGGAAGATTGAACAGCTTCCCAAGGTCACCAGCTGGTCATTGTCAAAGTCAGATTATGAGCCCAGGACTGTCTGACTATAAAGCCGAAATTCTGTCATTGCATTAATGATTTGGAGTAGGGTCTGATTTTATCAAGGGCCTTAGATAAGATCGCAATATTGGTTGTGATATTTTCCTATCACCAGCATCTGGCGCAGAATATTGCTTTCTGTGGGGTGAATAAATGACAGGATGCAGAGAAGAGAGGTCAACAAAGACTTCTCTTTCTAGTTCTGAGGTTGTGCCTAAAGGCAGTTGGATGCTTGAAAACTTATTGTGTTAGTCATGGTTCTCCAAAGAAACAGAACCAATTGGGTGGTGCATTTATGTGTGTGTGTGTGTGTGTTATGTGTGTGTGTGTGTGTGTGTGTGTGTGAGAGAGAGAGAGAGAGAGAGAGAGAGAGAGAGAGAGAGAGAGAGAAAGATGAGCTCCCTAATGGTGGAGGTATGCAAGCAGAAAGATATTGCTGAGGACTCCATTGGAATGGTGGATGGCTGGTGAGATGGGGGGAGTGAGTGTACCATGGGCATGATGGAAAGGGCACTAAACTGGCACCAAACAGCTCTAAACCATGGCTCCTGGTGCTGGCTCTATCACTAGTTTGTCATGTGACCTTTGATGAGTACCTATCCCTCTTGAGGTCTTTTGACCCCAAAAGTAAAAAGAAGGGAGTTGAATTAGATATTCTTTGAAGTCTCTTGCACTTCCAATATCTTTTCAAGGTAGACTCAGCCTCTTAAGATGGCTACCATTTTGAGTTACTAGCATATCTATGCAGGATGATCCATCTTGTTCCATTTATGGAAATGTCCAGCTCAGACACCAGCTCCCTGCTTGCAGGTCCCTCAACAGCTCAGTTCTTCCCAAAAAATCAGGCACTGGGAAGCAGGACTCCTGAGATGACTTGTTCTCTCCCTTCCCCTCTCTCCTTGGAACAATTCCCAAGAACATTTCCACTGTACAGATCCTTGGGCAAAATCCCATCTTACTCTTTGGGGAAGCCCCACTGGTTTGCTAACTTTCAAAAAATGCGCCCTCAACCTAAAAACTAGATGCAGGATCTTTTAATTACAACTTTTTTTTATTGTAGCTGAAAGACTTCATTGAACTAATGATTAGGCAAGAAAGTAAAATTATGGAATTTTTCAAACCAATGGCATTTGAGCTGAAAACAAGTTGCTGAACAGAAGGGAAGAAATGGAGATGGAAACCTTCCACATTATAGCTTTCAGGCGATGGTCCCATGGTCTCATGGTTGTAATTATCTGCATTCACTTTCATGGCTTAATTCCAAAGTGTTCAATTATCACAGTCATGTAGATGAGAGAGAAGAGAATGCCTATTACTGGCAGATATCACAGTCCAGCCAATATAATTTTTAAAGATTTATTTATTTATTTTAGAGGGAGAGAGACTCTCAAGGAGACTCCCTGCTGAGCACAGAGCTCCATGTGGGGCTCCATCTCACCACCCTGAGATCATGACCTGAGCTGAAACCAAGAGTCAGATACTTAACTGACTGTGCCACCCAGGTGCTTCCAGCCGGTATAATTTTTGTGGTCATAAGAAAAAAAAAATCGGGATGCCTGGGTGGCTCAGCTGGTTAAGAGTCTGCCTTCAGCTCAGGTAGTGATCCTGGAGTCCTGGGGTCGAGTCACACGTCAGGCTCCCAGCTCAGTGGGGATCCTGCTTCTCCCCCCCCCACTTCTGTGCACTCACTCTCTTTCTCAAATAAATAAAATCCTAAGAAAAAAATATGTAAAATAGAAGGCTTTGCCTTTATTTTCTTTCCAAGAAAGATTACTTCAAGCACACTTTTTTAGAACATTTGCCACATGGCAAGGGTTTTAGATGCATCATGCCGCTTAGTCCTTGCAGCAATTCTGCGGTGCAAATGTTATTAACCTCCATCTTACATGTGGGAAAACAGAGCCCCAAAGCGGACATGCTGACTTGCCTAAGATTCCTCAGACAGGAAGTGGCAGGACTGTCTCTACTTGTCTTTCAGCTAACTGACTCTTACTGAGTTCAGCCCTCCTTGTGCCGTGCCTCTGCTCTCTGCTCCGTGAGGAGTCAGTCCTGCCCTAGCTAATGAGTCATGCGCGATGTACAAGCACAGTCAGACCATCAGATGCATAC